AGAGTGAAATTTTCCAGTGTGTAAAAGCAAGAAAGTAAGGTAATGAGAGGGAGGTGAGCATAAGGCAGAACAGAATTCTGTGGCTCCATGAAAATAAGGAAGGACAATAACCCTGCCTGTATTGCCACGGACGGACAGGCACCTCGACAGTACACGCAGCGTGGTCCAAAGTACCCCAAACGCTGGCTAGAAGGAAACATCGAACACTCAGAGAAGGGTTAGTTGCTTGCTTTAACACCAATGTCCTCGCTCCTAAGGTGGAGAACAGTCAGTCACACACTGTCCTTCGCAGTCCAGGCAGGCTATAGGAAAGAAGAGGGAATTATCCCTGGCTCAGACCACAGACAATGCTTAAGTGAAGCACAGGAGTTCAGAGCTGCACACGGGGACCAGATCCCACATGGCCAGGTTATCTCCTGGCCCAGGAAGCTTGAAAGACATGCCAGCTGTGCGTGCCCCAAGTCTTGACAGGATGAGAAATGCAGGAAAAAGGACTGCAGTGTGACCGCACCCCATGGAGGGCTGCTCTTTCTCCTGAAAGCACACGTGTCTTCTGGCATGCAAGGGGAGTGGGGGAGTAGGAGCAGCCTAAGGTTGCACACCTGGTCAGGTGAGGCGGGACCTCAATCCAGGGTATGTGATGTCAAACCTTGGTCTTCTCACGGCACCAGCTCCCCTTAAACAGAGCCAAGCTCACCCCAGTGAAAGGAACCCGCCGGCACTCGGCCTTCAGAGCCAGTACTCCCACTCCTCCCGGGGACAGGCCCAGTGCCCAGGTAGACCAGCAGTGTCTGGCCGCCAAGCTCTGAGGAAGCCTCTCCTATGTTTACGTGATGTTATGAAGGAGGAAAGAGGCACAGTCCTTGCCCGAGCGCTTGGTCTCCAGGGGCTGCAGGAGAACAGCTGCAGAGGGCTGTGAGGAGACCATGGGCAGGGAGGAGGCTGCGGGGTTTACTGGGCAGACAGGTTGGAGCACCCCAGAGAGAGAAAGGAGCGATGTTTGAGGGCCCAGAGGCAACAAGGAAACATGAGGAGGAGACACAAGGAGGAGACTTCGCTAACAAAGAACTCAAGGCACACGGCACCGGAGAGAGCACCCACTGATCAAGGCACCGCACCATGACTGCAAGACTACTTACGCCACATAATCCTGCTCATCTTCTGCCTGAAAGTGATACGTCCTATTATCTACAAAAAGAAAGTGAAACCATATTAAGCAGAGGACCTTAAAACATAGTGCAGATTTTTAAAGTAAAATATTTACAATGAACCAATACACTGAATATTTTAAGATTTTTACACCATTATGTTTTAGTAGCTATTTGATGACCTCTGTCAATATTATCATTATTTTTTCTTTTAATTGCCAGAAGGTGCACGAGTTTGCCAGAGAGAGCGGGGGTGGTGGGGCAAGTATTCTGCAATGGGGCAGGTCACACTGCAATTCCTTCTCGTCCGTTCTCCATCCTGTTGGAATGTTGAGCACTTACACACACGTGTCTGGCATGTTTTTCAAGCTGAAGGGGCTGAAATTTTATCTGTGGCTGGAGAAGTGGGATCCAGCTCCCTTAACCAATGGGGCCAGCTCTAATATTCTTCTTAAAGGCAACAGGAACGTAACAAAATAATCACAAATACCATTTAAACATCTGATACCTCTTTTCTCGTTCTCTTTTTTTTTTAAGAGGTTTTTGTCTTAGGGTGTGTGCGCTCATCAGAAAGAGAGGGACAGACAGACAGACAGAGGCAGAGACTGAATGGAAAGTGAGAAATCACCGCTGGGGGGAATGGTCACCACAATCCCTTTTCCTCCATTTTCATCCTGGGATCTTGGGTGCCCACACACATGTGCCTGGCATGAGTTTCAAGCCACTGGGTCTGGGATTTGAACCTCAGCGTCCCATGTGGGAGTCCAGTGATGTAACTACTATGCCATCTGCTGGCCCTATTTAGTATCTGTTTTAATTTAAAAAAAAAAAAAAAAAAAAAAAAGAGGATGGGGAGAGAGGTCCTATCTGATCCAAATGGACCTGAATGACAAACTGGAGGGTGCCGTTTCCAACAGACAAAAGCCCCAAAGCTTTTCAGAAACGATCCATTCCTCACTCCTCTGTTCACCCTGAGATGTGACCTGTGGGGCAGCTCTAAGACCACTTTGTCTCACAGGAGCAAGGGCTGCCCTCTGGCTGAATGGGACAGGAAAGAAAGGTTCCAGCTCTGCTCCCAGGAGAGAAGGCAGGAGCCCGGCCTTGGTGCTCTGGGCGGGGATTCGTGAGGGAAGCTGCTTCTTCAGGATTTGTGAGAAAGCTACAACACATTCAGGTCAAACATTTACCGAGCGCTTCTCAGGTGTCCACTCCAGCCGAGGTACTCACACCCCTCCTCTCCTCAGGGGAAAGATGGTGTGCACTTCAAAGAACAGGCCACAGGCCCTTTGCACAAGACCCGCAGAGGAATTGCTGCTTTATGGCTGTGACCTCTCGGAGCCTCAGTGTTCACTTTTGTAAAATGGGAAACTGGTAGGGCTTTTGTGAGGGTTGGCAATAATGTACGCGAAGCACCTGATGCAAACTGGATGCTCGATGACTCAGCAGTTATTGATAACTTAGTGGGTCTCAAGTCTAGATAGAGGTCCTTGGTTTTTTTAAGTCATGTTACAATTCCCAGCTTTTGTATTTCTTTTTCATCAATAACCCAAGAAGTTTCTCGTTTATGAAAATCAGGGGAATCTAAACTTTGTATAGATGCTGCTGATTACAGCTATAGGGTCAGGACTGCCTTTGAGTTTCCATTCACACGACTACATCAAGAGAACTTCATGGGATGGGAAAGCGTTTTTGTGCTTCTACACAAGGCTGGCAGGCTGTGGCTGCAGGCCCGCCCTGACAGAGAAGGAAGAATACGCAAGGCTGGGGCTGCAGGATTTCAGGGGAGTTGCGAGGGCCACTTCACTGGCATTGCCATCCTCTCAGGAACAGTGCAGGTCAGCAAGTACACCGAGGGGATCCATCTCCACTCTGAGACTACAGGCTGGGGCAAGGCGGCCCTGCATGTTCCCATCACGGAAGAACAGCAGACTGAACCAGGAAGTAGCAGTGACAGGACGCAGCGCTATCGAGTCATGACGTGTGGGGCAATTCTGTGCAGGCAGGGTAATGAGCTTTCCCGTACGAGCCTGACTCTGCAGGGATGGAACTCTGGGCAAATTCACTGCGCAGATGTATGGCACACCTGCATTCACAGCCCTCCATCGGCCGTTTTCAACCACAGGTGCACGTTAGAGTCATACAGGGGGCCTAAAATACCCTCTGGACCTAACTCCCAGGGCTGTGACTCAGCAGGTCTAGGAGAGAAGTGGAGATATACTCAGAAAAGCCTCTCCAAGGAGATAAAGTTGTATACCCACAAACAACCACTGGTCTAATTCTTTTTTTTTTTTTTCTTTAAAGAGATTTTTGCTACAGGGTGCATGCGTTAACAGGAGAGACATACAGTGACATTCCCGGGGGGATGGTCACACTGCAACCCCTTCTCTTCCATTCTCTTCTCAGGATCTTGAGCAAGCATACATACGCGCCTGGCATGAGTTTAAGCCACCAGGGCCGGGACTCAAACTGCAGTCAACTACGTGGGAATCTAGCTATATAATCATTATGCCATCTGCCAGTTACACACTGGTCCAATTCAACATACAAATCGACTTTCTATCCTCCTGCTGGTAAGGTCTGACAGCAGCTGGCAAGATTTCTATGGCAGGAACATTTCTACCTGAGGATTCTATACTTTTGGGGAGAGGGAGAGAGGGAGAAGCTAGAGAGAAGTCACACAATGAATCAATCAGAGTCAAGAACATCAGAGGTCAAGACAGTTTGCAACTGCAGGTGGGCTCAGTGCAGACTGGAGACCTGAGGGTCTTCCAGGAGCTGCACATGCAGGAAATGACAAGAAACACTGACGTGCTGGCTCTGAGGAGCCCTGCCTGGAAATGCTGCTGTTTCGAGACCAGAGAATGGAAACGTTCAGATGTCACGATCCATAGGAACTGACTCAGAATAAAGAAAAAGGACTCACGTGATATCAGGTCGAAAGACTTCTTGTCTTCGGCATTTGGTTTCACTTGGCAGGTGAGAAGGTTCAACTTAGCTGGTTGCCTGTTAGACTGAGAGAGAGAAACAATGGAGAAGTTACATGTTGTAGGGCCCTCTCGCCTGCAGGTTTGGGGTTCCCAGGGCAGGCATGTGATGACAGGGCCTGCTCCCGATAGAACACAGCTCTAGAAATGAAGAAAACAGGACATTTGGGCATCCCTTTACACTTACTCTAAAAAGACACCAGATCTGTTAAGTACATGTTCTCAAATGCAGGCTGATGGCCACCCAGTGGTGCGGTGGTTAAGGAGGCTGGATTCCATGTGCTAACTATGCAGTATGAGTCCTGCACCCAGAAGCCTGAAAAACGTGGTGGGTGCCTGTGCATATGTGCCCCGAATCTCAAAGCAAAGAGAAGTGAAGAAGGGACTGCAGCATGACCTCCTCTATGGGGGAGGGGCTTCTCTTTCC